GAATTTCTCTATTCTTTCACAGTGGTTGTTTTGCATATTCTGAAATCACCTGTTTACTGTGATCTTATTGCATATATATATATATATATATATATATATATATATATATATATATATATATATATATATATATATATATATATATATATATATATAGCATTATATTTGCTACACACAGTGACGTCTCAGTGTGCAACAATAAATTAAAAATATTATGTAAATTTCTGAGCATAATACTTGTCAGAGTCTAAGATTTATTTCCACATGATACAATGTTTGTACGAGACTGGTGATATTTGCGTGCGCATGCAGAAAGCCCGTGGTTATGCAGAGCATACCTGGAGTTTACCTGGAGAGAGTTTCGGGGGTCAACGCCCCCGCGGCCCGGTCTGTGACCAGGCCTCCTGGTGGATCAGCGCCTGATCAACCAGGCTGTTGCTGCTGGCTGCACGCAAACCAACGTACGAGCCACAGCCCGGCTGATCAGGAACTGACTTTAGGTGCTTGTCCAGTGCCAGCTTGAAGACTGCCAGGGGTCTGTTGGTAATCCCCCTTATGTGTGCTGGGAGGCAGTTGAACAGTCTCGGGCCCCTGACACTTATTGTATGGTCTCTTAACGTGCTAGTGACACCCCTGCTTTTCATTGGGGAATGGTGCATCGTCTGCCAAGTCTTTTGCTTTCGTAGTGAGTGATTTTCGTGTGCAAGTTCGGTACTAGTCCCTCTAGGATTTTCCAGGTGTATATAATCATGTATCTCTCCCTCCTGCGTTCCAGGGAATACAGGTTTAAAAACCTCAAGCGCTCCCAGTAATTGAGGTGTTTTATCTCCGTTATGCGCGCCGTGAAAGTTCTCTGTACATTTTCTAGGTCGGCAATTTCACCTGCCTTGAAAGGTGCTGTTAGAGTGCAGCAATATTCCAGCCTAGATAGAACAAGTGACCTGAAGAGTGTCATCATGGGCTTGGCCTCCCTAGTTTTGAAGGTTCTCATTATCCATCCTGTCATTTTTCTAGCAGATGCGATTGATACAATGTTATGGTCCTTGAAGGTGAGATCCTCCGACATAATCACTCCCAGGTCTTTGACGTTGGTGTTTCGCTCTATTTTGTGACCAGAATTTGTTTTGTACTCTGATGAAGATTTAATTTCCTCATGTTTACCATATCTGAGTAATTGAAATTTCTCATCGTTGAACTTCATATTGTTTTCTGCAGCCCACTGAAAGATTTGGTTGATGTCCGCCTGGAGCCTTGCAGTGTCTGCAATGGAAGACACTGTCATGCAGATTCGGGTGTCATCTGCAAAGGAAGACACGGTGCTGTGGCTGACATCCTTGTCTATGTCGGATATGAGGATGAGGAACAAGATGGGAGCTAGTACTGTGCCTTGTGGAACAGAGCTTTTCACCGTAGCTGCCTCGGACTTTACTCTGTTGACGACTACTCTCTGTGTTCTGTTAGTGAGGAAATTATAGATCCATCGACCGACTTTTCCTGTTATTCCTTTAGCGCGCATTTTGTGCGCTATTACGCCATGGTCACACTTGTCGAAGGCTTTTGCAAAGTCTGTATATATTACATCTGCATTCTTTTTGTCTTCTAGTGCATTTAGGACCTTGTCGTAGTGATCCAGTAGTTGAGACAGACAGGAGCGACCTGTTCTAAACCCATGTTGCCCTGGGTTGTGTAACTGATGGGTTTCTAGATGGGTGGTGATCTTGCTTCTTAGGACCCTTTCAAAGATTTTTATGATATGGGATGTTAGTGCTATTGGTCTGTAGTTCTTTGCTGTTGCTTTACTGCCCCCTTTGTGGAGTGGGGCTATGTCTGTTGTTTTTAGTAACTGAGGGACGACCCCCGTGTCCATGCTCCCTCTCCATAGGATGGAAAAGGCTCGTGATAGGGGCTTCTTGCAGTTCTTGATGAACACAGAGTTCCATGAGTCTGGCCCTGGGGCAGAGTGCATGGGCATGTCATTTATCGCCTGTTCGAAGTCATTTGGCGTCAGGATGACATCGGATAGGCTTGTGTTAATCAAATTTTGTGGCTCTCTCATAAAAAATTCATTTTGATCTTCGACTCTCAGTCTGGTTAGCGGCTTGCTAAAAACTGAGTCATATTGGGACTTGAGTAGCTCACTCATTTCCTTGCTGTCATCTGTGTAGGACCCATCTTGTTTAAGTAGGGGCCCAATACTGGGCGTTGTTCTCGATTTTGATTTGGCATAGGAGAAGAAATACTTTGGGTTTCTTTCGATTTCATTTATAGCTTTTAGTTCTTCCCGCGATTCCTGACTCCTAAAGGATTCTTTTAGCTTAAGTTCGATGCTTGCTATTTCTCTGACCAGTGTCTCCCTGCGCATTTCAGATATATTGACCTCTTTTTGCCGCTCTGTTATTCTTTTCCGTCGCCTGTAAAGGGAGCGCCTGTCTCTTTCTATTTTACATCTACTCCTCCTTTTTCTTAGAGGAATAAGCCTTGTGCATACATCGAGTGCCACCGAGTTAATCTGTTCTAGGCATAAGTTTGGGTCTGTGTTGCTTAGTATATCTTCCCAGCTTATATCGGTTAGGACTTGGTTTACTTGGTCCCACTTTATGTTTTTGTTATTGAAGTTGAATTTGGTGAATGCTCCCCTCGTGACTAGTCTCATTTTGTCGGTCTGGGGCTCCTCGCATACATGTCTGAACCTCAATTATGTTGTGATCTGAGTATATTGTTTTTGATATGGTGACATTTCTTATCAGATCATCATTGTTAGTGAATATGAGGTCTAGTGTATTCTCCAGTCTAGTAGGCTCTATTATTTGCTGGTTTAAAATTGAATTTTGTGCAGAGATTTAAAAGCTCGTGTGAGTGTGAGTTTTCATCAGAGCTGCCTCCTGGTGTTATTACTGCAACAATATATTTGCTATATTCCTCCATTTTAGGTGCCTGAAGTTGAAATCCCCCAGGAGCAAGATGTTGGGTGCAGGAGCTGGAAGATTTTCCAGACAGTGGTCAGTTTTTAACAGCTGTTCCTGGAATTGCTGGGATGTTGCATCCGGAGGCTTGTAGACTACCACAATGACTAGGTTTTGGTTCTCGACCTTTACTGCTAAAACTTCCACTACGTCATTTGAGGCATTAAGCAGTTCTGTGCAAACAAGTGACTCTGCAATGTACAGGCCAACCCCCCCCCCTAACTAAAGCTGAGAAACTTCTCTTAAGTTGTTGGCAACATAATCACCTTTAATAGTTAACGATTCATCTCACATTAATTTCATAAATGACGAATATGACAGAGCAAATATTTACATAAATTAATTTATCTGTGCAAAAAAACATCAATTAGGGACGAATACAATGTAATATAAAAAAAGAAAATATAACATTGTATTTTTCAGAAAGTGTAAGTTATTTCACTTTACTTTAACCAAATTCTAATAATAGTTTTAGTAAGTAAAGTAAGTATTAAGGTACAGGTACACATAAGTACAATTATCATACACAGTGTAAATTACCTAGGACAACCCCCCAAAAAAGTCAAAGTAGTTTATGTCTGTGTAGACAAGGCATATATACTTTTTTTTTATCCTATAGGCATATAGGTTTACCCCTACAATATATACAGATTTAAAACTAAAATAAAAATGTGTATGTGAAGTCTGCCTATGGAAATGTGTAACTAAAGTTGACTTAAGTAAGAACTGAGTAAATATGGCATCATGTTGTATTATAGTACTGCTCAACCCCCCTCTCTCCTGCTGTCTCTTTACTGTCGCAAATATCTCTTTATTACTGCTCACTTATCACACAGACTTATATGCATTACTCTCACTATACTACTCACATTACCAATACTAATATAACATAATATGGGGGATTAACTTAGAAGGATAAAGTTAGAAGGAACGTGTGTTTTATATATGAGTTCCCTACCAGGCCGCCAGAGTGGGGGATGCTTTAATCTTCGTCTGTCTGTACTTACACCCTTATTTTACAATCTGTAGCTCATATATTACCTTACATCTCTTATATTACTAACCTACCATCATCCTCATCCTTCCCCTTTCCAAAAGTCAAGAATTCCAAGTAAAAACACAATTTAGAAAATGTCAAAATCAAGAATTTAGATGAAAGAAGATTGGATGAAAGTTTGTGAAATATTGTAACATTGTAGTGAAAGACATGTCAGACATGTTTTCTCTAAGCTTTCTTGCTTTACCAAGTCGATACACTTGTCTGAGATAAATCTTTACTGAGATTAATATGTATGTACAGATAATAATAATTATAGATTTATTTGAAGCACAAAATTCTTTGGAAAAGTAAAACAATAAATGTTATTTCCCGTAAGTCACCCCAGCAAACTCCCTCATCCCCCTACCCCTCTATTACCTCCCTCCCTCCCTGTTAGTGCCTTTCCTCCCCCTTCTCCCCTCTACTCCCCTCTCCTTCCTCACTACTCCCCTACCACTTCCCCACTACTCTCACCATTCCCTGTCCCCCCAGTCCTCCCTCACTGTTAGGGTCTTTATTTCACCATTATTCCCCTTCTCTTTCCCATTACTTTTCTTCTCTCCTACTTCCTCATTACTTCCCCAGCACTTCCTTCACTACCTCCCTGCTGCTCACTATTACTTCCCCATATCTCACCTATTATTTCCCCTTCTCGTCACTCCCTAACCACTTCTCTTCCTCCCCATCACTTCTCCATCCCCCCTGTTCCCTTAATTCTCCCTCAGCCCCTTTTCCTCCTCCCGTAACCCCCTCTATCTCTCTCTCCCTCCCCTTACTCCCCTCCACCGCCCGATTGATGACGTGCCAGATATTATGTATCTTATTTATTCATATATCCGTTTAAAACGTGTGACCATATTATTCCAAAACATTCATGTATATGAATTATTGTAGGAAACAGTCAAATAGAAGGCTGTGTGTGAGGTAATATTAGTGAGAAAAGAGAGATGTGGTAATGTGTGGCAGCTTAGAGCTGTGGGAGGTGTTTAAGGGAGGTTCAGTTGCAGTCTTGTACATGGTCTCGCTAGTGTTATATTTACTACACTTACTCTCTAAATTAACCCCTTTTTACCTCCTTAAATTTAATATTGTGATCCCAGAGTCACTTGGAATTAAAGCTGGAGGTATGGAAATGCTTCAGAGTCAGTGATTTTTCAGTGAGTTAATCTAAGTGGAAAGATTCCACCGGAAAGAAGGGAATGTGCAGAAAGAAAGGCTGGTGAGCTTGTGTTCCAACTTGTAATGGTTGAAAACTGCTATAATCCTGGTGCAGGTTGAAAGTGTTGAGTATATAGGTCTATGTGAGATAGCAGAGGCCTGTGAGAGTACTGGGTAGTGGCCTTACTTGGAAATTATTACTTCAACACATCTGGCCACAAGTGTAAAGTAATGGAGAGATCAGCAAGGCTGCTGCCGTCTGGATTTAGCACTAACTTATTTTTTGTGCTCTTGTAGACCTTCCATGAAACACTCAAAGTTGCTTCGATGCCAAGGTAAGATTTTTTTTTCATTCAGTTTTGCCTCGGGTTATTCTGTTTTGTGTTGAATAAATGAAAGAATAAGATATGATGATGGAGAAACTGACTCATAACAAAGACTGATAACCATGTGCTCGGGGAAAATATTTAAGCCTGAGTCAGGTGGTAAAGCAAGGGAGTCAGGTGCTGTGAGAGCAGAGATAGAACTAACTTACACCACACCAAATAACCAATGAAATTACTCATTCGTTTTGACTTAGTTGGACTGTTGTAGGCTAGCTTTGCATAATTTATCACCAGTAGTATTGTATATATGTGAAGTACTCAAAAAATATATGTAGGTAATCAAAATCAAGATTATCATAATAATGATAGTCACATTACCACCACCTGCCTGACCTACATCTTGCCTTACTCGCAACCATTGATGGCCTCGCCCACGTAAACCTCTTCATATTTCATCATATTGCTGAGAACGTGGACTCTCTTTTACAAATAACCATATATTCTTATCAGTTTAAAGTGTTTTATAGTATTAATATAATTCCCAGTTATAGAAGTGAAAAAAAGTGACTCGATCAACAGAAAAACTTTCTATTTTAACTTTAAACATTTATTTTTAAGAATTGCTAGTATTACCAGTAATCTATTTATAGCTATCTGTTGTGATGTTCCATAATTATAGAAGTCTCTTTTGTCATCTCTACAAAAAATCCTTAATTTATTAATAATAATGACAAGTAGCTTGAAGCTTTTCAAGGAGATAATATCTCTTAACAATTTCCACTACAGTAATTGGAAATGTTGAATCATCTGCCACCTGGACGATTTTTGTTTATCATAAGGCAATGAAACTAAAATATTAATTGAAAAACATTGAGAGAATAATTTGATAGTAGCTGTATACAGCTATAGTGTTTTGACCAGCTTTTAAAGTTGATGATTCGTAACATAAAGGCTTAATGATACAAGCTTTCATTAACTCCAATATGCTGTTGTACTAGGGTTCATGACTTTTTCTTACAATTTTCAACCCCTCTTACGTGAAGGCTAAAACTTTACTCATAAACTTGCCCTTAGTTTAATCTTGTGTAATATTCTTTAGTAAATGTAACTCTTAACATGTTTTTTTTTTCTAGTTTTATTTTTTATTCGAAGTTTAATAGCTACTATTTTGTAGCTGTAGACTAACAGTTGAGTCTTATAGTTTTCCCTTTGTATGTTATTGTGCATCTTTTGAGAAATATATATAAATTATTTATTAGCATTAGAACACTCAAATGACACGAAGTGTTTTAAAATTATATAAAAAAAATTGCGAAGAGTTTATTATACAAACGCTTGAGCAACTTTTTCACTAATAGTTATGGTACATGTTAAGAAATATTTATTTGGGCTTTAGGTACATATTATTTTTACATTGATCTTGAGGGCACACAACTTATGCGCACAAAAAGTACATTTTACAGATGAAACCAGAATAATTCAGCAATGGGACTTGTCTGTTAGTTGAAGGTCTTGTGTATTTTGGTAAAATCTAAGGTCTAATTTATTATTAAATATCTCTTGTGGTTACTTAATGGACAGATTATGTGTGCGAGTGCGTGTGCGTGTGCACGTGCGTGCGCGCGTACGTGTGTGCGCGTGCGTGTGTGTACTCAGTTCACCTAGTTATGGTTGCAGGGGTTGATTCACAGCTCCTGTCCCCGCCTCTTCACTGGTCACTACTAGGTCACTCTTCTTGCTACATGAGCTTTATCATACCTCTTAAAGCTATGTATGGATCTTTCCTCCGCTACATCACTTCCCCAGACTGTTCCACTTCCTGACAACTCTGTGACTGAAGAAATACTTCCTAACAACTCTGTGACTGAAGAAATACTTCCTAACAACTCTGTGACTGAAGAAATACTTCCTAACAACTCTGTGACTGAAGAAATACTTCCTAACAACTCTGTGACTGAAGAAATATTTCCTAACAACTCTGTGACTGAAGAAATACTTCCTAACAACTCTGTGACTGAAGAAATACTTCCTACCATCCCTGTGATTCATCTGAGTCTTTAACTTTCAATTGTGACCCCTTGTTGCTGTGTCCCATCTCTGGAACATCCTGTCTTTTGTGCACCTTGTCGATTCCTCTCAGTATTTTATGTCATTACCATATTCCCTATTTCTCCTGTCCTCCGGTGTCGTCAGGTCGATTTCCCTTAACCTCTCCTCGTAGGACATGCCCCTTAGCTCTGGAACTAGTGTTGTTGCAGACCTTTGCACTTTCTCTTGTTTCCTTATGTGCTTCGCTAGGTGAGGATTCCAAACTGGTGTTGCATACTCCAAAATAGGCCCAACGTACATGGTGTACAATGTCCAGAATGATTCCTTCCTGAGATGTCGGAATGCTGTTCTTAGGTTTGCTAGGCGCCCATATGCTGCAGCAGTTATTTGGTTGATGTGCACCTTAGATGTGCCCGGTGTTATACTCACCCCAAGATCCTTTTCCTTGAGTGAGGTTTGTAGTCTCTGGCCCCCTATACTACTCCATCTGCGGTCTTCTTTGCCCTTCCCCAATCTTCATGACTGCACTTAGTGGGGTTGAACTCCAGGAGCCAGTTGCTGGACCAGGCCTGCAATCTGTCCAAATCCCTTTGTAGTTCTGCGTGGTCCTCGTCTGATTCTATTCCTCTCAACAGCTTCACATCATCTGAAAACAGGGATACTTCTGAGTCTGTTCCTTCCGTTATGTCGTTCACAGATACCAGAAACAGCACCGGTCCTAGGACTGACCCCTGCAGAACCCCGCTCGTCACTGGCGCTCACTCTGACACCTCGCCACATACCATGATGCACTGTTGTCTTCGTGATAGGTATTCCCTGATCCATTGCAGTGCCTTCCCTGTTATCCTTGCCTGGTCATCCAGCTTTTGCACTAATCTCTTGTGTGGAACTATGTCAAATGCCTTCGTACAGTCCAAGAAAATGCAGTCTACCCACCCCTCTCTCTTGTCTTACTGCTGTCACCCTGTCATAGAGCTCCATTAACTTTGTGACACAAGATTTCTCGTCCCTGAAACCGTGCTGGCTGTCGCTGATAAGCTCATTCCTTTCTGGGTGCTCCACCACTCTTGTGATAATCTCCATGACTTTGCATCCTATACATGTCAGTGGTACTGGTCTGTAGTTTAATGCTTTGTGTGTGTCTCCTTTTTTAAAAATTGGGACTACATTTGCTGTCTTCCATACCTCAGGTAGTCGCCCTGTTTCGATAGAAGTTTTGAAGACTGTTTTTAGTGGTACACATAGCACTTCTGCTCCCTCTCTCAGGACCCATGGAGAGATGTTATCTGGCCCCATCACCTTTGAGGTATCTAGCTCACTTAGCAGCCTCTTCACTTCTTCCTCGGTTGCATGTACGTATTGTGTCCAACAGTTGATGGTGTACCCCACCTCTCCATCTTTCCAGAGTCCCCTCTGTCTCCTCTGTGAATACTGGTTTGTGTTTAAGTCCTTGCTAAAATTTTCTCTTATACATTTAAAGACGTAGCTTTTTCATTTATGTTAATGTAAAAATTATTTTGTACCAAAGGAACCTTAGAAAACTTATCTAACCTTATTATAACAAGCACAATTTCATTTAGCAAAATCATATATATATATATATATACATACATACATACATATATATATATATATATATATATATATATATATATATATATATATATATATATTATATGATATATGTATATATATATAATTATATATTATATATATATATATATATATATATATATATATATATATATATATATATATATATTTTATATATATGTATATGTATATATGTATATGTATATATATATATATATATATATATATATATATATATATATATATATATATATATATATATATATATATATATATCATAATCTACACTTGGAAAATCTTGGAAGGAATGGTCCCAAATCTGCACACAGAAATCACTCCCTACGAAAGTAAAAGACTGGGCAAGCGATGCAAAATGCCGCCAATAAAAAGTAGGGGCGCCATTGGTACACTAAGAGAAAACACCATAAGTGTCCGGGGCCCAAAACTGTTCAACAGCCTCCCATCAAGCATTAGGGGAATTGCCAATAAACCCCTGGCTGCCTTCAAGAGAGAGCTGGACAGATACCTAAAGTCGGTGCCGGATCAGCCGGGCTGTGGCTCGTACGTCGGACTGTGTGCGGCCAGCAGTAACAGCCTAGTTGATCAGGCCCTGATCCATCGGGAGGCCTGGTCGTGGACCGGGCCGCGGGGGCGTTGATCCCCGGAATAACCTCCAGGTAACCTCCAGGTATGTGTGTACTCACCTATTTGTACTCACCTATTTGTGGTTGCAGGGGTCGAGTCCTAGCTCCTGGCCCCGCCTCTTCACCGGTTGCTACTAGGCCCTCTCTCTCCCTGCTCCATGAGCTTTATCAAACCTCGTCTTAAAACTGTGTATGGTTCCTGCCTCCACTACGTCATTTTCTAGGCTATTCCACTGCCTTACAACTCTATGACTGAAGAAATACTTCCTACTATCTCTCTGACTCATTTGTGTCTTCAACTTCCAATTGTGGCCTCTTGTTTCTGTGTCCCCTCCCTGGAACATCCTGTCCTTGTCCACCTTGTCTATTCCACGCAGTATTTTATATGTCGTTATCATGTCTCCCCTGACCCTCCTGTCCTCCAGTGTGGTCAGGCCGATTTCCCTTAATCTTTCTTCATAGGACATTCCCCTTAGCTCTGGAACTAACCTTGTCGCAAACCTTTGTACTTTCTCTAGTTTCTTGACGTGCTTTATCAAGTGTGGGTTCCAAACAGGTGCTGCATACTCCAGTATGGGCCTGACATACACGGTGTACAGTGTCTTGAATGATTCCTTACTAAGGTATCGGAATGCTGTTCTCAGGTTTGCCAGGCGCCCATATGCTGCAGCAGTTATCTGATTGATGTGTGCTTCCGGAGACATGCTCGGTGTTATACTCACC